CTTGGGCCATTTTGGAGGCCTCTCGGGCTGTCTTGAGGCGGTCTGGGGCCGTTTTCGGGCGCTCTTGGAGGCCTCTTGGGCCGTGCTGGGGCGATCTCGGGGGCCTCTTGGGCCGTCTTAGAGCGCCGGTAATCGAAAAGACGAGAACGCCCAAATCCTTCCAAAACGTTTGGAAAATCACTAATTTGCGCCTCTGGGGGCCTTCTGACTGCGTTTCTTGGAGGATGCTTGGGGCGTATTGCAGGCTTCTTAGGCCGTCTGGAGGCCATCGTGGGGTCTTGGACTGGTCGTTCGGTGACTCGGAGCCCTCTTGGACCATCTTGGGTGCCTCTTGCAGCTCTGTTTGCTGCGCTCTGGGGGGCCTGAGAGGCTGCACCCCGGAGGAAAACCATCTCCGAGTAAAGGTTCGCCGGGGATCAGCTGGGGTACTTTTGATCCGGGGACCCCCAGGGGCGGCCCCGCGCGCGCGAACCAGAAAACTTCTAAAGTAGTTACCGGAGATCTTAGCACGCCTCTGGCCCGTTGGGCCGGCGACTCCCTTGGGAGGGCCTGAACCAAATCTACTTTATCCGCTTTCCAATTTCATGTTTTTTTCCTATTGCTTCCGACCTACATGTACTTGACGCACACAAGCATAGCCGAACAGAGTGCCCCTGCTGGGCTATAGATCGCACTGAGAGCGGAGGTTCACTTGTACATCCCGCGTCAGATGGCCTCTTTGGAGGAGTAGGCGGAGGCGGAGGCGGAGGCCGAGGCGGAGGCGGAGGAGGAGGAGGAGGAGGAGGAGGAGGAGGCGGAGGCGGAGGCGGAGGAGGAGGAGGAGAGGAGGAGGGGAGGAGGGACGAGGAGACGGAGAAAGAGGAGGACGAGGAGGAGGCGGGGGAGGAGAAGGCGGAGGTGGAGGCGGAGGAGCAGCAAGAGGCGGGAGGAGGGAGATGTCCTGAATTTGCCGCGGCGGCTTCCGCATGCCTGTCGCGGGGAGGCACCAGGGGGGATGCCGAGGGGTGGCCGGGGCGCGAGGCCATCGACGTCTTCGAGGCACTGGGCACCATGCTGCGCCCCTGCTGGAGGGGGTGCTGCTCTCTCGTGCCCTCTGGTCCCAGGAGGAGGAGGAGGAGGAGGAGGAGGAGGAGGTGGGAGGAGGAGGCAGGAAGAGGAAGAGAGGAGAGATGAGGAGGAGGAATATGAGGAGGAGGAGGAGGAGGAGGCGGAGGAGATGGATGTGGAGGAGGAGAAAGAGGAGGAGGAGGAGGAGGAGGAGGAGGAGGAGGAGGAGGAGAAGAGGAGGAGGAGGAGGAGGAGGAGGAGGAGGGGGGCGGAGGAGAGGGAGGAGGAGGAGGAGAGGAGGAGGAGGAGGAGGAGGAGGAGGAGGAGGAGAAAGAGGGGGAGGAGGAGGAGGAGGAAGAGGGGGAGGAGGAGGGAGAGGAGGAGGGGAACCAGGAGCGGGGCTTCTTGAGTGCGGCATCCAGACATGCTCGTGTCGTGACAAGAATGGGTGGGCCGTTTTCGCCCTCCGGGGTCCCCTGTCGGGCCCCGAAACCGTCAAGAAACGGTTCGGAATGGAAAACTGGCCTTGGGGAGAAGGTCGGGAGTTCCGGGGACTGCACGCTGAACAAATCAAGACATCGTATGTCTGGGCAGGGCCGCCTCCGCGCCTGTCCTGCTCCTGTTGTGTCTACTGTGGCACCGAAGCGTCCCCTGGCTGCCCCGACCGCGTCTTGAGCCCAAGTCGCCGCAACAAAAAATGTCTGGGCAGGGGCCGCAGCACGCCGCTCATATAGGCAATGTCACCACTCCTTCCTGGCCTCCTTCCTCTTCCTCCCGCAACAGGCGCCCTTTCTGTCGCTCAGCCGTTCCTCGCCTTTCAACTTGGCCCACGCGGCTTTCTCTCCCTTCTCCTGGCGAAGGCGCGATGATGGCCCAAGGATGCCATAACCCAAGGTCGGAGACCGCCTGCGTAGGTACCGCCGCGTGGGAACCGCCGTCAATGGGAACCGCCTGCGTAGGAACCGCCGCCAGTAGGCCAGCGTGAGCCGCCACTGCAGGGGCCGCCTTCGCAAGAGCGGCCTGCGAGGAGCCACCTCCGTAGAAACCGCCGCCAGTGGACGCCACCCGTGTCGGCCGCATGCGTAGGAGCCGCCGCCAGTAGGAAGGCGAATGGGAGCCGCCAGCGTAGATGCCGTCGCCAGTGGGTGGGCCAAGGGGACCTCTAGCGGGAGCCGCTTGCGTAGGAGCCGCCGCCAGCAGCAGCCGGCAGTCGGAGCCGCGTGCGCGGGGCCGCTTGCGTAGGAACCGCCGCTAGTTGGAGCTGCGAGCGGAGGCTGCCTGCGGGAGCCGCCATACGAGCCGCTCGTGGGAGCCGCATGCATTGGAACTGCCAGAGGAGCCGCCGCCAGTGGGAGCCGCCGCTAGTGGGAGGGCTGATGTAGGAACCGCCGCCAGTAGGAGCGGCCTGCGGGCCGCCTGCGTAGGAGCCGCCGCCACTTGGGGCCGCCGGGGGGGGAGCCGCGTGCGTGAGGACCGCTTGCGGGGGAACCGTCGCCAGCGGGAGCCGCCTGCGGAGGCCGCCGCGGGAGCCGCAAGAGGGGTCCGCCTGCATTGGAGCCGACTCCAATGGGGGCCGCCAGTGGGAAATTCCGTGGAAGCTGCCGCCGCTGGGAGACATCTGCGTAGGAGCCACCGCAAGTGGGAGCTGCTAGTAGCAGCTGCCAGTCAGGGCCGCCGCCATTGGGAGCCGCCGCCAGTGGGAGCCAGCCGCTGGTAGAGGTAGATGGAGGCTGCCGGGGCCGAGCGTGGCAAGATCTTCTTGTCGGGGGTAGTGGACTTGGACATTGAAGTTGGCATCCCACTTCAAAACAGAAGATGACCGTGTGATAGTTGTGCGACGCTGCCAGAGCAGTGGCGGCTTCTCCACCCACTATCACACACCAAGTTGAACTCGCGGGAAGAGGTGCACAACGTGCTGGCACCGTCTGGATGGGTCGAGCCCGTTGATTGCCTGGCGCCGGGGCCGCCAGCGCATGAGGGGCACCTGCAACCCAATGGGAATACTTCTGTTGATGAAGGTAAGGTTGAACACTGCGCCGCCTATGCTGAATAGATCGGCCACGTGCAGGACGATCATGATTTCTGGTCGCGATGGTTGTGCATGCACACAATGACATGCTAAACGGCTGGGCTCTGACGGGGAAGCCCGAGATAAGGTTTGCAGGGCCGTGCCGCGCCTTCAGATCAACCAGTCACGGAGTGCGTTCCCCGCCGCGTGTCCTTGGCTGGCTGAGGCGATGCAGTAGCTAACCGCGCCCGCACATACGGGCCCGAGGACAGGACGGTGCTAAAAACGACCACGGCGATACTGATGATCCATTTGTTGCTGGTGATGATTATGAATATTTTGGGGAGGGAACCGATGTTGATCATGATGATGACGATGATGATGGTCATGACGATGGTTAGGGTGATGGTGATCATGGTGATGCTGGGCATGATGATGATGCTCAGGATGACGATGACGGCGATGACTATGATAACGATGCTACCCATGATGATGGTATAACGACGATTATTATACTTATGGCGGTGATGGTGATGTTGATGACGCTGATGATGATGCCGATGATGACGATCACGCTGTTGATGATGCTGCTGATGATGATGGTGGCAATGATCATGATCTTGATCATGATGATGATGATGATGATGATGATGATGATGATGATGATGATGATGATGATGATCATGATCATGATCATGATCATGATCATGATCATGATGACGCTGATAATGATGATGATGCTGATGATGCTGATGATGACGGTGACGATGGTGATGATGCTGACGAACGTGTCTCTGTGGAGGAGCACGAGCAGGGGTACGAGAAAGTGCATGCAGGAGGCAGGAGGAAGCGAGAGGAAGAGGATGACGATTCTTATGACGACGATGACGATGCCGATGATGATGATGATGATGATGATGATGCTGATGATGATGATGATGATGATGATGCTGGTGATGATGCTGATGCTGATGATGGTGATGCTGATGATGATGCTGATGCTGCTGATGATGTTGATGCTGACGTTGATGGTGATGGTGAAGATGATGCTGATGATGATGATGATGATGATGTCGATGCTGCTGTTGATGATGATGCTGATGCTCATTATGATGCTGCTGATTGTCATAATGATGATACTGCTGATGATGATGAGGATGATGATTCTGCTGATGCTGATGCTGATGCTGATGATGCTGCTGATGCTGATTATGATGATGATGTTGATGCTCATGATGGTGCTGATGCTGATGCTGATGAAGATGGTTGTGGTGGTGACATGGTGACGATGACCATGATCATGATGCTGCTGATGATGATGATGATTCTCAGCATGATGATGCTGACGAGCTGGAGGAGGAGGAGGAGGACGCTGATGCTGATGCTGCTGCTGGTGCTGATGCTGATGCCGATGATGATACTGCTGATGATGACGACGTCCATGATGATGGATGACGATGATGATGATGGTGTTGATGATGATGCTGATGCTCATGCTGACTTTGATACT